GTGGTTTTCACAACGACTGCTGACTTTATTTTTCTACGTCTCATTTAAGTCTGAATTAAGTGGTTTAAAAATATTTCATGATTCTTGTAGGTTATAAAAGCTCAGACTTTAAGGCAGGGCTATTCAACTGGCGGCCCACGGTTCCGGCCCACCAATGAGTAATTTTTTAATTTATTTTTTGAGTTCTGGGTTTGGATTTTGGGTTCTGTTTATTGCATTTATGATTTAATGCAATAAAACAATTGAAAAGGTAACATCATTGTAATACTTGGTTTATTTACATAATGACTAATTGCTGGATGTGCGGCCCCTGAGCTGCTGGCTTTCAGGAACTGTGGCCCCTGAGCAGTTTAGTTGAACAGCCCTGGTTAAAGTATCTTCACACCTTCATCCTGACCTCATGTGGTCCTTCTGTGTCAAAGCTGAACTGAAAACCTTTAAGGGGCTCGTCTCTGGTGGGACGCAGGTCGTCCTCCCTGATAGAGACCAAACTAAAAGCTGCGTACCGTTATAAATTAAATAAAGCTCCGCCTCTTTCAGTATTATTTAGGTTTTACTAGAAAATCAACCTCCTCCTAGTTGGGCTCACCTCAATGCACAGCATGGGCTCTGGAACCGATCTTGAGAGGGGCTGGACCTTATTCCACTCTGGAGTTGCCCATGGTGAGAGGCGTCAAGCTGGTGTGGGTCAACTTGTATGCCGGACAGACACGGTAGACCCAAACTTTGCTGGGAACTTCTGGCAGAAGAACCCGTCAGAAAGATCTTCAACTCTCACCTCCGGGAGAGCTTTAACTACATCCCAGCTGAGGTGGGGGACATTGAGTCTGAGTGGGCCATGTTCCGCACCTCATTTGTTGAGGTAGCTGCCTTGACTTTTGGCCGCAAGGTTGTCGGTGCTTCTCGCGGGGGCCATCCACAAACTCGGTGGGAGGCTGTCAAGCTGAAGGAGTCCTATCGGGCCTGGTTGGCCAGTGAGACTCTGGAGGCAGCTGAGGAGTACCGGAGGGCCAAGCGGTCCGCAGCCTTGGCTGTTTCTGAGGCAAAACCTCGGATGTGGGAGGAGTTCAGCGAGACCTTGGATAACGACTCTCAGTCGGCTCCGAAGAGATTCTGGCAAACCATCAGACGGCTGAGGAGGGGAAAGCAGCACTTTACAAACACTGTATTCAGTGAAGGTGGGATGCTGTTGACCTCAACCAGTGACGTTGACGTAGAAGGAATACTTCTCGGACCTTCTCAATCCCACCAGCACGTCTTCCATGGAGGAAGCTGAGTCTGGGGACTTTGGGGTTGATCCGTCCATAACTGTGGCTGAGGTTGCCAAGGTAGTTAAAAAGCTCAGAGGCGGCAGGGCTTCAGGGGTGGATAAGATTCACCCTGATTTCCTTAAGGCTCTGGATGTTGTGGGTCTGTCTTGGTTGACACGTCTTTGCAACATTGTGTGGACATAGGGGGCAGTGCCACTGGATTGGCAGACTGGGGTGGTGGTTCCCCTCTTCAAAAAGGGGGATCAGAGGGTGTGCTCCAATTATAATTGGATAGGGGCATCACTCTCCTCAGCCTCCCTGGTAAGGTCCATTCAGGGATACTGGAGAAGCGAGTCCAATCATTGGTCAAACCTCAGATCCAGGAGGAACAATGTGGGTTCTGTCCTGGCCGTGGAACACTAGACCAGCTCTTTACCCTCACTAGGGTCCTCTAGGGGTCATGGGAGTTTGCTCATCCTGTGTACATGTGCTTTGTGGATTTGGAGAAGGCATTCGACCGTGTTCCTCAGGGTACACTGTGGGGGGTGCTCCATGAGTATGGGATTGGGGACCCATTGCTACTGGCTGTTCAGTCCCTATACAAGTGGTGTGAGAGCTTGGTTCGCATTGCCGGCATTAAGTCTGACCCCTTCAGGGTGGGAGTTAGACTCCACCAGGGCTGCCCTTGTCACAGATTCTGTTCATAACTTTTATGGACAGACTTTCTCGGTGCAGCCAGTTGGCGGAGAGTTTCGTGGCCTCAGGATTCAGAATCAAAATGGGCTTTATCATTGCACCAAGATAAACAAGAACATTCCGTCTCTGCTCTTTGCAGATGATGTGGTCTTGTTGGCGTGATTGTCAGCTCTCACTGGAGTGATTTGCAGCCGAGTGTGAAGTAGCTGGGATGAGAATCAGCACCTCCAAATCTGAGGCCATGGTCCTCAACCAGAAAAGGGTGGACTGCTCTCTACAGATTGAGGGTGAGGTTCTGCCTCAAGTGGAAGAGTTCAAGTATCTTGGGGTTTTGTTCATGAGTGAGGGAAGAATGGAGTGTGAGATTTACAGACGGATTGGTGCAGCGTCTGCAGTATTGCAGACTCTGTACCGGTCTGTTGTGGTGAAGAGAGAGCTGAGCTGTAAGGCAAAGCTCTCTGTTTACCGGCCGGTCTACATTCCTACCCTCACCTATGGTCATGAGCTCTGGGTAGTGACCGAAAGAACGAGATTGCAGATACTGGGGGTTGAAATGAGTTTCCTCTGCAGGGTAGCTGAACTCTTCCTTAGCGAGAGGGTGAGAAATTCAGTTATCCGGGAGAGACTCGGAGTAGAACCGCTGCTCCTCCACATTGAGAGGAGCCAGTTGAGGTGGTTCGGGCATCTGGTAAGGATGCCCCCATGACGCCTCCCTAGAGAGGTGCTTCGGGCATGTCCAACTGGGAGGAGACCCTGGGGAAGACCCAGGACACACTGGAGAGACTCTCGGTTGGCCTGGGAACGCCTTGGAATCCTCCCAGAAGAGCTGGAAGAGGAGGCTGTGGAAAGAGATGTCTGGGCCTCCCTGCTCAAGCTGCTGCCCCCACGACCCGACTTTAGAACAAGCAGAAGATAATGGATGGATGGATGGATAGAAAATCAAAGTAGTCCTGGGGTTAGATTAATTGATTTAGTCATTTTATATTCAAAGTGTTTTTATTTCACTGTAAAGAGCCAACAGCTGGTAGAGCCGCCTCATTGGACTGTAAAGTGGACCAGCTGGTGTCAGTCTGAAGAACATCTGCATAAGTGAATGAACAGAAGTGGGTCAGACCGAGATCTGGACTTTCACCAGACCGTACCGGACCAACACTGCTCTGTTGTAGATTAACAGCTGTGTTTGGACTCATCGTGACCCAGTTTGGTCTGTGGGACACATGTCCTCACGTTTCACAAGAATCCTTTGGTCTACGCTCCTTGTCCACTCACTGACTGCGAGGTGTCCAGGTCCTGTGGCTGCAGAACGGAAATCATCCCCCCACCACCCCCGAGCTTCAGTTAGTATGAAGAGTTTTTGAAAAACCAAATGTTAAATGGACTGTACTTGTATAACACCTTTCTGTCTGATCAAGACACTCAAAGCTCTTTACAACAATGCCTCAACAATTCCTGCCT